CGAAGTCGGGGCGGTTGGGCCACGGGACGCGCATTACCGAGTACGGACTCCGGACTTCATTTCTGCTCTTCCCTTCCACGATTGCTCCTCTTCATACCTCCTCATCATCCTCATCCTCCTCCTCCTGCTGCTCCTTCTCCTCCTTATTCTCCTCCTCCTTATGTTCCTTCTTCTTCTTCTTCTTCTTCTCCTCCTTTTTCTCCTCCTCCTTATGTTCCTTCTTCTTCTTCTCCTCCTTCTTCTCCTTCTTCTTCTCCTTCTCTTTCTTCTCCTCCTTCTGTTTCTTCTGCCCTTTCTTCCGTCATATTCCTCCTTCAATTAATTAATGAATTATAAAGGATATCTTGTAACTATTTCCTAAGAGTTCCTTATATCCTATTAAATCCACCATAATTTTGTACTTATAATTAATGCCCTTGCATCATATCACGCAAGATATTCATTACGTTACCTTTTTCATCAATCCTAAATCCATTTCCAGCACTTTAATTGCAAATGGCAAATATTTAAATCTCCCCGCCAATATTTAATGTTAATTTCTACGTTTTATTTTCTTCATTAAATATTGTGTTACAAAATGTAATGTGCAATATAATTATTTATTTATTTTAAGAGAAAGCTTACATTATTGTGGTTACGACTTGAATTATTCCTGACCAACACGATTACTTGAAAAACAAATAATAATAATTTTACTAAAAGTCCAGTCCAGCAAGTGTAAAAGATTTCGCCAACTATCTACGCAGTCTGCGTTTGGCAATGACACTGGATGAAAGTAATCACTTAAGCTATAGCACGCGAAAAATAACTTGTACAAGTCTATATTGTATGTCTATGTATAACAATGATTCACAAAATATGGAGACAAAAAACAAAATGCTACAAGAACAAACGAAAACTAGGCTTCTAGGCGAAGACAATATTATAGACTGTAGTCGGAGATGAACCCAGTACAGTACATCAAGTTAAAAAGAAATAAAAACCTTACATCACGAAATGAAAATAAATTTAGTGTCTAAATACTTGAAGAAAAATTATAAATTGTACTTGTATTTAATACAATTTGAAAGGTGATGAAAATAGGTTCCTTGTATCATAAGACAAAGATTTTTAGTAGAGTGAAAAATTTTTGACATCTAATTTGATATGTAACAATACTTGTACCCATTAATTTGTGCTACTTATTATGCAGGGTTAAGTTGTATTTTCCATATTCTTGACTTGTCATAGCTTGGAGGTCGGCGCCGCATATCATCAAACAGCGAAGAAAACCACCACCTTTCATGATAGAAACAGGCACTACACTTACCGGACTAGTGACCAAAACAGTTGACGGCCCCGAAAGCATGAAATAAACAATCAATCAATATTTGCAAACAGAATAACATCGGCATCCGCTATTTTGGTAGGATATTATGACTTATATTTCATTTGCTGCAGCGTTGTCGTCGGCCTTTTACTTTCCTCATGAGGGGGGTAAATACGTGTAGAAAAGACGTGTATGGCAATACTTGAAAGTACGAATGTGCATGTGTGCGTATGGATGTGCGTGTGCGCAGGCGTATTTAGATGCGTGAGTATCTGCACATAAATATGTGTGGGCGGGTGTGACGTGCGTTTATATGTGCGCGCGAGCCACACAAGAGCCCGGGCCATATTTCTAGGGTGAGCTTATCCAGGTCACCAGGTCAGCTCATCCTGTTACTTCGTTTTACGGGCGATTTTACTACCGTTAAATTCGTGTAGATCCGTGTTGTTGCAGCACCATTAACCCAGAACCTCCCTTAAAAATGAAGCCCCTCACTTTGGAGGCAGAATCAAATGGAGTTCACAACATGCTACCTGTCGGATAATATCATCTGTAGCTTAACATTACGAAAGCGGGGGGATAATCAAAATAAATTAAGAATAGAATATAAAACCCAATACACGACACCACTCGCCAAACCCATCTTTAGGAAATCACTGGTTAGGTAATATGAAAGGGCTTACAACAAAACAAAATACAATATTTCTTTAGCTGGAGAAAAGCGCGTGGGTTTGTTTCACCGATTTTTATTCAAATTTTTAATTGTTGCAGTGCTGGAGTTCAACCGCACCTTCAGGAGCCTTCACACCTGGGACCACCTGCAATTGCCCTTGAAAGGTGGGTGGCACATTCAACGCTCCACGGCGGTTTCGAAATGCGTGGCCCTCCGTCGGCTGCTGGTCGAACATATGCACTCGAGGAAATGCTCCGTGAAAGACAAAACTTGCAACAACCGGAAGGGGTCATCGCCGTAGATGGAAAGACATGAGCATTTTGGACGCTCCCAGTGAGGAAATACACTGAAAGAATTCGAGTACGTCATGAGTATAGCCCGTATTTATGACATGTCATATTTTTTCTTTGAGTTTTTTTCCATGGGAAACATAAGTTAAGCATGATTTTATTCACAATTTTCACCTACTATATACAGTCATATTTTTGGTTTTAGAAACTCTTGTTTCATTATGTCATATTATGGTCATATTTTCCCATGAGTTTGCATAATCTTTGACATATTTCTAGAATTGTTGTATCTAATTGTTATCTGTCTTTCATATATAGTTTGTCATGTCTGTCTCTATATTATATACATAATATATTATATATAATATATATTATATATATTATATATTATATAATATATATTATATATATATTATATATTATATATTATATATATGTGTGTGTGTGTGCGCGCGTGTGAATTAGGAGGTTACGCTATAAAGATGAAGAAAAGCAGCGATGCGAAGGAAGTGACAATTTAGCAGGTAGAATTGTTTTCAATAGGTGCTAAAGGAGAAGGGGGCGAACTGTTAATGTGTGATGATATTAAAGCTAAATTTTTATGATAATTTAAACAGCGGCATGGTTAGGAAGATTCGGAAACAATTTAAAACAAAAAACTGTTTTATTGCTTATGTTTAATGTTTCCATCATATTGTAACGTTCCTCCGTGGTGAATTAAAACCAACACAATATTATTTAAACAAAGAACGTTTATTCGGGAACAATTATACACTAAAATCTACTTGGTCTATTTACAGATATATTACACTTAATTATTTTTCTTTACACACGACTCCGATCTCTTGATGGTTTATTTACACAGTTCACTTCTTACACACTATTTATTTATACTGTTCTTTTCTTCTACAGCATCAGCCAGTCCGATGCACTGTCCACGGTCCACTGCACTTGACCCCAATTCCCTGCACAGACACAATTCCTTGCGCAGACCACAATTCACTGCGCAGACCAGGGTCCACTGCACTGCTGTTTACCGCGATGTCCACTTCTCAGCTCAGCTTCCACTGCAGACTTCAAACTGCTGACTGCTGTTTCCCCACTGCACCACTGCTTACCGCGATGCACCCTTCACAGCTCAGCTTCCACTGCAGACTTCAGACTGCTGACTGCTATTCAACCCCTGCACCACTCTTCACCGCAATGCACATTTCACAGCACAGCTTCCACTTCGGACACACTGACGGACTGACTGCTTCTCTGCTACTCACTGACGTCTTACAACCCACTGACTTCTACTCACGTCTTCTACTAACTGACTCGCGGCCGCCGGAAGCTGCGCATTTATACCTGCCCGGCGCTTGTCTCCAGGCACCCGGCATATTCTCGGCGTTTCCCGCGGCTCGCGGATAGTCCGGAACCGTCTAGTTCGGGGGGGAGGGAAGGGGCGCCGGCAGATGACGCAATCCACGCGCAGCGAATTCGGCAGGTGACGCAATATTCGTAACAATATCTTATTGAGGTAAAAAGTTATTATTTTCAGCACTTTTTCTAAAACCTTTTTTAGTCGAAGTTCACGATTTGCCGTTTTCGTTTCTAAGCCCCTTATTAAATTCTTGAAGCCTTGTCTGAATCATTATCTGTAGGGTGTGTCATGCTAAAGCGTATAGTTACAAGAGCCTGTCTATTTCACACACTTGAAATTAGCTTTCTGTTGGTTTAAATTCATTTAATACAGACGGAAAATTAAACACAGACTACTGCTACTCAGCTACTCGATACAGCAATGCAGTGTGATCAATTTGTGTACACTGAGATGAAATATGAAAGCAGAGAATTTCTCAGACCAAGTGATGAACCTTCGATCGGCAAATCGTGTGTTGGGAAAGTAAGTTAGTGCGTGTCTCTTTGAGTGAATGTGGGACAAGTGAGGACGACACATCACTGAAATTCTCTGATTTTGATGCGCAATACCGCCTACCACTAAGCTTCGCGCACGGGCGTAAGGTTAAGAGTGCGACGCGGGAGTAGATACGTGTTGATTTCAGTGAAGACAGACAAAACACAGTAACGCGATTCGATGGATTTCATTTGGGAAGACAGGCCCTCAACGAGAGCGCACGTAAGGCAAGTTCGTAGCCGCATAACAGATCGCAGCAGGGGTTGCGAACATCGAGCCGCGTCTTTCTGGCGCGCAAGGCATTTTCAAGGCCACAGATTCTTCTAGGTTTTTGTCTCGTTTAAGATTACGAGATGAAACATGGTGCGTTCGATCATATTTTCTACTTTTCCGTTTCTATTCTTCTTTTCTGTCTTTAGTCTTATTTGTCAGGACTCCTTAGAATAGTGGAAATTGGAATGAGTGGAATTTGCGGGGTTTCGAAGGGTAAGTTCTGTCTGCTCCGTGCTTAATCTGGACTTGGAAAAGGAATAATAAGTGTAAAGGCTTCTGAATATCTTGATTAACCAGTTTATAGTTTTGATCAATCCCACTGAATAATTTCCTTAATAACTGTCAGTTTTAACTCATTCTAATAAAGTGAGCCCAGAAGTTTCCTATTTTTCATTACTGTTCTGATTGTACGACAAATAAATATAGGAATCACATAATTGTACTTCTGGAATTGTTTCAGCAGATTTATGTGCTATCTTTATTGCCAATGTTTGGTATTTTGACTCTTTCATCTCTACTTTTCATTTTTACCCCTGGCACCGATCTCGATAAAGCTGAAAACACATCTGTAAGCCTGGACAACAGGAAGGCACGGTCCTCTTTTGTCTTTATATGGAAGCCGACGCTCCTGGGCCAGGTAGTTCTAAAAATGTAAATGAAAAAGGAAGATCATAGCAGTCAAGATATTTTTTTCATTGATTCAACAGGCTTTGTTCGCTGACGAAGGATCTACTTTTGAGGACAGACCTCTTTGGATATGTTATATCCTTCGTAGTGTTGGAGATTACACAAGTACCGAGAACGAAAAATATGATTCCGATTCCATTGAAACGGTTTGACTCACGGTCCAGCGACAGTAATATTGAAAGTTTCGATGCTAAAAATGAACTAGAAAGGGATTCGCAAATTCTCAAAATTCCTGCTGGAACTACAAGCGTATTCCCACCGACGTATAAAAGTTATCCCGAAAATGAAAATCACGTTGCCGTAAAATTACAGATGAAATCATTGTTTCGCTACCAGCAGACTTAAACCTTTGCCAAAGGGATAGCATTTTATTAATTGGGATCATTTATCCAATCAATAAATTTATCAATCAATTATTTTCGAGTTTGATAACGTGCGCAAATTGCACCTCTCTTCCATTCGTTACACAGTTTTTACTGTTCTTTAGAGAAAATAAAATAATACAATGACATTAAATTTTGAAAATCAGCCCGCTGTCCCATTGTAGCGTAGTAAAAATAGCGCTTTTGTCCCTCTGTATTCATCTGTTGTACGGAGTTCGAGTCGCGACAAGTATCATGATCATTTTCAAATTTACTGAGAACTTCATCTATATGCTCGTTTTGTAGACTATATTTGAAAACATCAGGCTTGGATACAGTAGAGACGCATTGGCCCAGTTGTAAAATTCCTAGGCGGTCACTTCACACGTAACATTTTCTGCATCTGTCAGAAGTGAATTTCTCAGAGAAGCAAACCCACTCCATTCAGATCTGACCTACTTCACTCCCAGCCCGCATTTTATGTTGCAGAAAAGATAATACGTCCATAACGATGACGTGCAGCGCTGATCAAAATATTCATAAGGAAATCATTCAAGAAGAAAATTGTTTGCAATAACTGTGACACAGTTCAATGTGATTCATTTAAAAATGCGCCCACATGAACATGAAAACAAAATAAAATTTGCTTCAACAAGTGGATTTCTTAAATGACAAATATGAAGCATCCCGAAGAGAAAGCTACTTATTCATATTCCAATGACGAAATTGTCTAATAAACCACCCCTAAGAACAAACCACCCCTTTAGACCGATAACGGGTGGCGTTATTTTGCGCAGGGACCGAGGAGTCTAGGACGCCGTTGCAATATTTGTTGCGACATTAAGGAAAATCACTCAAAACGCTTGATGTCTGTCACATTTTAGGAGGCCAAAACAGTACAGGAATTATTTATTAACTAACTATAACCCATCTAAAATGACACAACGAAATCAAACTCGCAAATTATTGAATCATATTATATACTAGAACCCAATGTAATATATTTTAAAGTATATTTATTTGGGCCACACAAACTTAAGAAAACCGCCAATACAAATCAATCATAGGAAACCTTTTTTTTGGTATTGCTGAATTTTGCAAATTCCCCTAATCCCAAACTTTCTTCAACTACAGAGTTTCGCACCGCGATTAGAACCATCTCCAGATGTCCTTACAATAGTACCAAAGAAGACCGTGATTTCATAGAGACCCGGTTGGTTTTTAATTTTTACTTATTTTGTGGATCATTACCCGATTGTTTTAGCATATCAGTACTCCATCAGGGATAATATCAAAAAGGCCAAGTTTTCTTCTCACTCCAGTTATTTTAACTTAACAATACAATCGCGGGGATGCAGGAATAATGTTGTAGATAATATCAAATGGAACGTGGTGTTGATTTACCACAGCTTGCAACGACTCAACCTGTTCATTTGAACGTAGTACATCTTCGCATTTCCCTGGCTCGCGTTCCCTCGTTCGAGTGGCTTACAGCCGGGCGACACCCTGTTTCCTTTCGTGATATCCCAGTGACAGGGCCTCCCTCTGGCGTCTGCTATCTTCTCCGCGAATCCACTGGCGATGCATTCCGCCCCGCTCCCCGCCCTCTGCCGATCTCCTGCGCGACCCCACAATTTGGTCCGGGGGGCATATAAACGCGGTGGCCTCGGCTGCGGGGCTCCGCCCGCCCTGCCACGGGCCCGCCTCTACGCGGCCAGCTGGCCTTCCTCGCCCGCACCCCGCTCGCCCCCTCGCCCGGCCCTTACTGATGAGGTACTTACAACCCTGCTGGCGTAAGAATGG